TGCTGCAAGGTACCAAGTTTCTGTTCTGCCGAATCCACGCGTTATCCTGTCCATGACATATTTCACAGAACATGCTTAGTCCCCCCTTAGCTGTCATTTCATGTCTTTGATTAAGGATGTGACTTTCGTGTGTGATTGGTGCAGAATCAAGCAGCATGTCATGGGCGACTTCAATCTTACTTCTATCTCCTGTTGTGTAAGGATCCCACACACAATGGGCAAACTCTGGGATTGGACAAACAAATGTTTGGTCTGATATTTTTGTTACAATACCAAAAGGTTCCTCCTCAGAAATCCAAGACCCCCTGGTTGCTTTGGGTGTAACCTGCTGAAAGTGGAATCCCTGTTGAAGATTCTAAGTATAGTGAGTTTCCTCAGATTACCACATTATATTAAAATCAAACAGGATCTGTATTACACTTCACTCAATGTTATATCCAAATTGTTACAAAACATACTTTTACCATGCTTGAACAAAGTGTATTTTTTGGAAAATGTTTGTGTGCGAACCTGCACATGAATGTGTATTGTCTGAGCGTGTGTAAAAGTATACGTGTGTGAGTGCAAAACTATGTATATGTGTAAGCATGTGTGTAAGTCAGCAAGTATATGTGTGAAGGCTCTCTTGTGTGTGAATATGCGCGTGTGTGCGTGTATGTATGCATTTGTGTATGTATGTTCATGTGAGTGTGCATGTGTGTGTGTATGTATGTGTGTGTGTGTGTATACATGATGTGTATGATGGGTGTGTATCCTTTTCCTGCATCAGTCACATCTGAAGCAATTGAAAAACAGCAGCCCAGTTCTTGGTGAGTAAATGACCTCAAATTCACAGGCATCTTTTCAAACAGTTGCTAGTGAGATATTGAAGAGGATCATGGAGGTAGCTTTAACATTTAGGTACAAGCAGGAATAAACAATTCACACTTCACTAGCTTCACAGTAATAAATCCCCCAGTCCCGCTGACACACAGCCTGATAGTAACAGGGATGACTAAATAACAGGGTGATCAGCTACAGGGCAACTCTTCTGTTAACGATAATGTTTCACTCAGGAGTTTATTTTCCAGTGACACCTTTTTAGGATTATTGCTGATCCTGCCAAAAGCTCCCAGAGAGAAATATGATCTCCTTCTGAAACATTGAATTGCCTTCTTTGACAATTCTTTCCCATATTCATTGTTATGACAAGTCTCTGACTTGGAGTTAATTCAAAGTTATGGGCACAGTTACACGCAGTGTGTAATTCTCAGACCCGAGCAGTGTTAACCTTTCTAAGTGTTTAAGGGAACATCTCTGCTGGCAGGAAACAGACCTGCATTTTACACAAAGCGTCAGGATTGCTGATTCTCCCCTACTCTGGTGTTTCCACACACTGGTATCCGAGTCAGTGGAGGGTACTGGAGAAACACATTCAGAAAGGTTCTTGGTCTCCTGTTCCTGTTCCGTCTACCATATGAACCAATCACAGACATGCTACATTATACAGGCCCTGGTTTATCTCCTACTTTGGAAGTATTCTGAGTTTCACACATTCCGGTGGGTTCTATCTATAGGGCGCTGGCTGAGTGGTTGACATTGTAAGACCTTGCATGGCAGGACAGTGGAGGAGGGGAGGCGGCGAGTGAAGAGACAATGTGCTGGGCACGACAACAGGTAAGGGCATAGTGAGTGATGGTGCAATGGGTGAGGGGGTGAGCATTGGGTGAGGGTCAGTGGGTGAGGAGTCAGTGATTGAGAGGGGCAGTAGGTGAAGGTGTGATATGTGAGGGAATGGTGGTTGGGAGTGAGCTCCATTAAAAGGCAATCGGTGAGGGGGCAGTGGGTGAGGGAGCGTTGGGTGAGGGGGCAGTGGG